CTACGACTACGGCTACGGCTACGACTACGACTACGACTACGACTACGACTACTACCACTGCTTCTCCCGCTACTAATAATACTTCTATCCGTGTCCGCCCCCCCTTCCGAAGCTCAAAGCATGGATCAAATCCGTGAACGAAGTGATGACAACAAAAACATGCACTTAACTTTTCCGTGTGAGGCCTCATGCTAAGTCAGTCTGCCTTTGGCGGCTTCGAACATCTTCGAACCCCTGAAGTGACAAATCTGAGCACAGCACACGGCTCGATCTCCCGACATGGCATGGCAACCTGCACTGCAGGAAGAGAGTTGCCGAACTGCCGCCGCTATCTCAAAGTGGTGTTGGGCATTACCGCGATGCAAAATAAACGTACTTTGGCGACGAGGAGTACCGAGAGGTTCCTTGCACGCACTGTGAACTGCCACATGCAACTTTCCTAGGTTGCTCTTATTCGCCACAACTGGGCTGATCGGCTATTGGCATCCTGATCATGGGTAAGTCCTGTACTCCTGCTGCGCTGGCCGTCTACGGCATTACGAGTGAGCTATGTGGAGCTTGCATGCAGGCGAATCCGATTTCTTCTTTTGCCCTGGCGAGCCGGGATCGCGTCATGCCTACGTGGCAGCTCAAGCGGCTCGGGGGCTTCTGTTACAGCCGACCGTTTCCAAGCGCAATTGAGCTCTCGCAGCGCGCCAACAAGCAAGGGCTCGCTGCTTGTCGAATTCTTGGCTGGTCGACACTTTCCAACCAAATATAACTACTAAAACCCACAGTGCCGGCATCTCCAGTACCACCACCACTTTGCAGCACACCACTTTGGGCAGCGTGCACGTCGGAAGCGGCGAGAATGCCGCGAGTAGTACGAGTAACCATAAGGAGGCATCGGCGTCGTTGTTGTTCCAGTTGTATTGCAACCAAGGATCATGCCGGTGGCGGTGATGTTAAAGTTGCCGATAAAATCTGACTCAAAGCCAGTCGATAAAGCGGCTGTCCCGGAGATGCTCACCGCAGACTGGGCCCTGGTGTTGTCGACGACCAATGTCTGTGTTGGACCCCAAACATTATCAAGGCCTTTCTCGAAGAACTTCGTGATTCGTCGATTATCGTTGGTGGCCTCGGAGATCAAGAAGGCTTGCTCTGGGACCAGCTGCACCCCGGCAATCTCACTTTAAGGTTACATTCCGGGAAAGTTGCGGTCCTACATTCCCGTCGCTCTTTTCAGAATGAGCCCTTGCATTCTCTAAGACCGAAAAAACCTGCTGAACACCGGAAAGAGCTTCAACAACCGTTACCGCCTTGCCAGTGCTGGAGATATCTGCATCCTGGATGTCGTTGATGGTTGCGTTCGGATCGCCGAGCACTTGGCTATAGACCTGTCGCAAAACCATTGTCTGTGCACTTCAAGCAGGATTCTGACAATCAGTTTTTCGATGTCCACGTGACTCCGATGCGAATATGATTTTCTCATGTCGCACCGTGGTTCTTGCCGCAATGATTTCTATATATAGCTCCTCACCGGCATCTTCCTGTTGGTGTCAATGTGTGCTTTCTCACCATGCATACGAGTTTCAGTGTGGTGCACATATGCTCACAACAGACAAACGGGAGCATCTCAAGTAATTGCACAAAGCGCTCTGCTCTCTGGGAATTCCATTGTTGTGAAAAACAAGCTTTCGGACCCGCGAACACGAGAAAAACCTGAACCCGTCGCGACTTTTTCGCGCTTCAGCCGACCTCCTCCCATGAGCCGGCGTTGTACTCGTGAACATATGCCAGCAAAGTCCCTGTTCCATCAGTCGTAAACAAGACCTCCAAAGCATGTTTCGGAAACTCAAGGCCTCTCCACTTAATGCAAGAGTCTGTAGGGTCCTGGGCTTGACGTTTCAGGGTTTAGGGCTCAGGGGTAAAGGTTGCAGGGTTTCGTGCAAAGGGGTTGAGAGGGACTCCAGCTCAATACTACTAGCTGTGATATTATTCGAATAACTCTGAACATGGAGCTAGAAGTTATGCTAGCCTATCAGGCTCTCACCATTATGTAGCAAGTTGATTTGTGAACCATCACCGTCAGAATGTAATTGCCCTCCACGGCGACGTTCTGGATGATCGCGGCATTTTGCGGAGTGAAATTGGCTGACGGCCCATTCCACGTGCTGCCCGTCCACTCGTACCTGCCAGACTGCATGAAACCCAAAGGCTCCATGTACCCATATAGTAGATACTTAGGCCTTAAAGTGCCTATATAGGGACCCCTTTTAAGCCTAAGTATCTACTATATGGGTACATGGAGCCTTTGGGAAACCTTTGTGAATGAAATCTGGCAATTGGGAAGCTGCAAGGTCGCGTAAACAAGATACATACATATTTACCTACATACATGTGCGTGTATACACACATACATACATGAGCCTTGATCAGTATTCCTTCTTCTAGAATTGGATTTCTTCGCGGATTTGTGTTTTCTTTTCGCGGGACTTTCGTGCTCACTTTCGGCAGCCCCATCGCGAATCTTTCGCGGACACATTGCTTTGCATCTTAAGTCTGGTTTATATAGGACCTCTAGATCAATGCTCGCATACACACATAACTACACGCAAACATGTATGTATCCACCAACATATTATAAGCATGTATGTACTCATGTTGTATGTATGCACGTGCGTACGTACGTATGCATGGTGCAGCCTTGCCACGTCCCCCGCAGCCTTAGCCTTGTGTCTGGTGTGGCGCCCCTCTGCCTCCCTGTGGTTGGTTGGGTGAGTTGGGATTTGACTTGCCTCTGTCTCTCGGTGTGCGTGCACGCGTTTGTGTGTGTGTGTGTGTGCGTGTGCGCGTTCGTGCTTGTTTGCGTGTTTGCGTGTGTGTGCCAGGGTGGGGCCTGGGCGCAATAAAGTGTCTTTCAACGCAGCCAGGCCTTGGGGGCAAGTGATTGTCAGGCGGCGTATATGTTTAAGAACGCAGGTCAGTGGCAAGTGGCAACACTTGTGCACCACATGGCAGTGCTGTTTCGATGGTCCAAAGGTTCAAAAGACTTTAACACAAATGCCCGAGAGCACCAAGGTAGAGCCTAAGCGGCATCGTAGACCTGATGGGCTTAGCATCCCAAAACACGGCCTGGATTGCAGGGACTGCATGAGGCTTCTCAAACCATGACTATGGACTAGTGAGTGCTTTGACAACAATAGCATCATCATCAAGTGCGGGTGGAGCTATACGGATCCTGCGGGCCAACTCTATGATTCTGTCCTGAACTCTTGTTCAAAATCACGAAATTGCTAGGCACAGCATCCCACATACGCAAACACAGGGGCCAAGGTCACAAGAGTCTGGGCCGGATTGGAAACTTGACATGTTTTGCCAGGATGACAACATTGATCTGGAGACTCCCGTTGTTGTTCATATGGGATGCAACGGAGTGTGACTGTGGTTTATGGCGAGGCTCACATGGAACCAGACCAAAAAATCGCCCTAAACTACAATAACTTGCATGCGGCGTGCCAGGCAGTGTGTATGGACTTGGTGAATCCTTTTCGGGCACAAAGGGACTTCACATACACTTCAAGCGGGATGTAGGTAATATCTACTTGCGGTATTATGCCCGAAGTGAATCCCTTAACACGGCCTAGCGGCGCTGCAAGCCGTATTCTAGTTTGGTCTTTCATGCGGAAGCAACTGCCGGCAGCAACACTGACTTGGCCTTGTTCATGAAAGTTCGTGGTTCTCTAGTGGGTCATCCGAGTTAGTAAATAACGGAAAGTGCAATACCACATTCCATTGCTGTGTCGGGTGGGGTCTAGTCTTGTAAGCTTTCTGGTCGGCTTGGGCCTTGTGAATAAAGGGGCCATAGGCAATACTCACGTGTGGAGTCTTGTCTTGGGCAAGAGAACTGACGCAATACTCAGTACTCTTAGCTTGCTTTCAGCTGGGGTCTTCATGTTATACTGAATTACGTTATTGTGTTGTGTTGTGTTGTATTGTAGTGCATTGTATTCTACTATAACATGTCATATTATGTCGTGTTGTGGAACCCAAATGTGTAAAGTTTAAAACGTCGCGATACTGCGTGTCCATTTATTGTATGTATTACATAATACTATATGAAACATAGTTTGGTGCTCGGTTATATTTCACCATACGTTATTTTATCATGCTTCATCGTATCCTAGCGTATCCTATCACATCTTGTTACAATCTCGTATGTTGTTATGTTGTATGCTCTATGTTACCTGTATTACATTATTATGTCGATTATCATATGCTGAATGTTAACAGCTAGTTCATGTCACATATGACTATATAGTATATGCTGTACGTTACATGTCGCCTAGCTAACAGACACATATACACATATTATCTGTGTTATTTATTAGTCAGTATAACTTTCCATGTACATGCATTATTTATTACATGTGGTGTATGGTATGCGGCATATTACATAAGTTATGGTATATACTGTAGTATGAAAAGAAAGAGAGAGAGAGAGAGAGAGAGACAGAGAGAGAGAGAAAGAGAAAGAGAG